TATGGTGGTCTTTTGGGCGCAAGGGTGCGATTGTTGCGGGGACTTTACGGTGAGCTGCATTTCATGTTACCCGCGGCATACAGAGTCTCCATCAGAGTTATTTATATTCTGCTGTCTAGCTTGTATTCCAGACAGATATTGTATTATTATTGTACTCCTTAGTAGATGCTTATGCACTTGTGATACCGGGTTTTGGGATATGCTAATTGATGCTTATGGTTTTATATATCATTATCGCCTTTCATTTCTTTTATAAACTACTAATTATGTACGTTCACGTGGATTTAAAAGCGCAAATCTCCTTCCTTAATAAGAATTATGATTTCAAAAGTAATAAATTGAGTAATTAAGTTGATCAGTCATTGTTGGCTTGCCTGACGACGGCGTTAGGCGCCATCACGACTTATAGTAGATTTTGGGTCGTGACACTTTAATTAGACAATTCAACTAATTATATATGTAGTATAATTTATTTACTTACATCAAATTGAGTGCTGTTTGATTTAGTCTTAAAATGATTTATTTTATTTTGACAGAATAAAAATAAATAGCCACAAAGTTTCGTAATAAATAGCCAAAAAGTTGTGCCAGATTTGATGAAAATATATTTTTAAAAATAACATAACTAATATTCAAAATATATGCTTGAGATAATTAAAAGACCTTTTTTAATTATGGATTGAGAAATTACAATGTGATGCTTGATATAGCTATATCTCTCCAAGTGAAGGTAGTTTAAACCAAATCTATGTTAGTTTTATTACGAAACTATGTTAGATTTTACTAAATATTTGCCTAGTGCATGAAAATTACTCGATCAATAAAAGGTTTACTTAGATTAAAGATAAGTACTTCAAAGTATATTTTTAATTATCGACAATCTAACTATAATTCATTTATTTACATTAAATTGAGTGCTATTTGATTTAGACTTAAAATGATTTAGTTTATTTTAACAAAATAAAAATAAATAGCCAAAAAGTTGGAAATACAATTTGTTTTTGACATTTCTGACATAAATAAAGAAGGAAGAGAGACAAACTTAGAGCCCGTTTGAATTATCTGATTGTAAATTGCTGATAAACTTGAAGTGTTGAAAGACATTTTTAAGTGTTAAAACTAATATTTTAAATAAGTATTTACATGTTTGGATAGCTGTACTGAAACTGATAATAAACAATTAATGTGTTTGGTAGAAAAGTGATGATGAGTTGTTCTTTGTTAAATGACTAAAATATCCTTAAAAACTTTAAAACAAACTATAAATTAAAAAGTTTCTTTGTAACAAAAGTGATGAACAACGAATATGGAATGAAAAGAAAGCTAGAAAATTTATTTTGGAAAAAATATTTTGTGAATTAAAAATATTATTAAGGATAAACTAGTAAAAGTCTTGGTCAAACTAAAAATGCTTATAAGCTGAAAATCCATAAGTTGATGTTGATCAACTTATGACTTATGACTGATTTTAACTTATAAGTATTTTGGGTATTTGCCAAACGCGTAAATAAGCTAAAAGGTGCTTATAAGCCAACTTGACTAGAGCTCAGCCAAAAACCCTAGTAGAAACAAACTCTTCCCAACTATTCAAATTTACTGCTTTTTACCCGACAATTAAACAACTACATGCCACTGTCTGGTATAGTTTTGCTGAATTAGGTTCTTAATTTTTTTTATTATTCCTTTAAATGGTTAAATAAAAGTTTATTATATTTATTTGAGCATAAATATTATAATGGCTGATACAAAAACGCGATGCATTAAAATCTATTGAGAGAGCAAGTAAACGATAATTCATTATAACTAAATTATATAGTTCGTCTACACAATTTATATAAGGAAAGAATTTATATAAGTATAATATTTTTTATTTTCTATTCCTAAATATTAGGAGTTCTTACCTAGTTTAAATAAGGAAATAAAAATTTAGTTGATTTAAAAGTCCTAAATATTAGAAAATAACTTATATTACAATTTAATCAAATAATACATCTATTTTAAAGGGTAAAAAAGATCATTTGACTAAGTGGTTTTGTACTTTTGATATAGTACTAGTCTCTAAGTTCGTACGATGCATAAATATCTTATGTCAAATATTACAAAACGCATACCAAAAAATAATAAACTTTCAAATTAATTGCAACTGAATATGTACGAAGTTTAGTACATACAAAATTCGATAATCAGTTCCTTAAAAGAAAAAGGAATATAATATACAATCCAAACCAACTAATTTGGTAATATTTTGGCACAACAAAAGGAAAAAATAGAAGTAAATATTATGAAATCATATAATTATGTGATTAAAGTTGTAAAATCACTTGAATATAATAATACCTAATATTATTTCTCCAGTTCAATGATCTTCTTTGATTTAGTTAAGCTTTAATGATTCAGATACATGGAAATCATATTTATTAAGATATATTAATAACAAAGAAACCAAAGATTCGTAGCTTCTTTGGCATTAATTTTTTATGTTCTTTTGTTGTTCCATTTACGTTGTGGCATTATTTTTTTATGATCTTTGGCCAGTGCACTCATGTCACAAAATTGATGTGAAACCTTAAAAATATGAAATCGACATCCAACCCACATCATCATCTTAGACAGGAATTGCGTATTCGGGTTTATTTTATAATTTTAATTTTTATCTAAAATTGACTGGACTATATTTCGTTGTTTCAAAATAATGCCAACTTATAAACCAACAAAAGTTCCCAAATGCAAGTTCTACTTGGAAGACACGAGGAACACAAGTGTTGCTACTACTACTTGGAGGCTCAAATGTTCCATTTAGAGCACACCAATTTTATTCAAGATGAATCCTTGATGGAATTACATATGATTATTATTGAATATGGGACATTGATGGAATTGAATATGCTTACCGTATTGTCCTCCTCATAGAAATCTCATCATATTTAGTTTGACTCCGAAACGATTTAACGAGCTGATTATCTGAAATTCTAGTAGACACGTTTAATTGAATTAAAATATATAAAGTTGCATTTACAATTTATTCTGTATGAATTTGTTTTTTGAAGAAGTAATTTTATTTTTAGGGTCATAAAAGTCAGCTAATATTTCAAGAATATTTTTATCGTTTAACATTTAGAGTCTTAACATTCGTGCTGTTATATATATAGAAAAATTAAACGAATCGAATTTTACTATATAATAAGAGGGGAATAAAATAGAATAAAATAAGCAGGAGGTAATCTAATTCAGTATAGTTTAAATGTAGAGTGAGATCTTTATTTTTCATTACATAGTCTTAAAAAAAAAAAATTTATTCCAATGGGAGAATAACTCAATTAAATTAAAATTTACATATTTTTTACCTTTCATTTCATAGAATATTTTTAATTTTACCTTTTCTATTCCAATTTATATGTTATAGTTTTCCCTTCGCTTGTATAAAAAGAATGTTATAATTTTTTAATACTAATATAATTTTAAACCTCTTATTTTATATTTAATAAAATAATTATAGCTTCATAATAATTTATATTCTTAAACTCCGCCAAATATCGTCACAGAAATTAGAATCGAGGAACAGTAGATTTTCCATTAAACTCTGATTTTAATATTGAAAATGTTTCTCTACAGGGAGCAGGCCCACTATTTCTTTAAAGCCACGTGTGAAGTTTCTTCACTCGGACCAAAAGCCCTTGTTATAACGCCTGTGAAAATCAAATCAGTAGCTAGTACCCTTCTTCCGCCGCGGACCTCCGTCGCAAACGACGGCAGCCATTTCACCGACGTCGAAAAATTAATCTGCATCACAGAGCACGAACCCTAACAAGTCCTCAATAATGCCTAAAACAAAAAGGAGTAACGGAAAATCCGACAAAAATGACGGAGACGAGCCGGAGATTTTCGTCGTTCCATCTTCCAGTACCGAATCACAACAAGACGAAAAAGAAGAAGAAGAAGAAAACGACGGCGTAGAAAATGTTCAGGAGGAATACGTAAGAGATACGGACGAAGAAGAAGAAGAAGAAAAGGCCGCGGAGGGCAAAGCCGGTAATAATACTAATCGCCGAGGCAGGGACGAGAAATTGGAAGTACAGAAGAAGGTTTATAGAAGAAAGGGGAAGAAAGGAGATGAAAATAGAGAAAATGAAGCAAAAAAGTCAAAGCAAAGTGAGAGTGAAAATTTGAAAATATATATGAGGAAGAAGAAGGTCAAAAATGGGAAGGAAAAAGAAGAGGAGGAGCAGAATGTTGCAAAAACAGCTAAAAGGGAAAAGGATAATACCGAGAAAAAGATGAAGGAGAAGAATGAAAAAGGAAGAATAGGCAAAAATGCAAAGAGCAATGGAGATTCGACTCGTGGATGCAAAATTGAGAACAAGAAGAAGAAAAATGAAGAGGAAGGAGGACAAAAAGTAGCCAAAAAGGCGAAGAGCAATGGTGATTCGAGTTGCGGAGGCAAAAATGAGAACAAGAAGAAGAAAAGAGAAGAGGAAGGAGGACAAAAAGTGGCAAAAAAGGCGAAGAGCAATGGTGATTCAAGTCGTGGAAGTGAAAATGAGAAGNAGGAGGGAGAGGAGGAGGAGGAGGAGGAGGAGGAGGAGGAGGAAAAGCAACAAAAAAGGCTAAGAGCAATGGCGATTCGAGTAGGTCGAAAAAAGAAGAGAAAAAAATGAAGAAAACAGAGAATAAGAAGGAAGGAAATGAAGAAGCTGAAGAAAAGGGAGTGAAAAGGGCACAGAGTAATGGGTCTACAAGTCGAGCTACAAAAGAGAAGATGAAAAGGGAGAAGGAGGAAAACGAGGGTAAAGCAAGTAATGGGAAGGTAGAAAATGGAGCAAGGTGCAATGGTGACACCCCTTTGAAGAAATTAAAGGCAAAGAAGAAAAGGGAAGATGATGAAGAGGAGGAACATGAGAAGAGTGAAAGTGCTCTTAATCAGTTTCCTCATAATCGAATCCATCGAATAATAAAGGACGAAAATTCTGATATGAGGATGTCCCAAGAAGCAACATTTGTTGTTAACAAAGCTACGGTATGGCCCTATAGTCCTTATTCAGTTGTGTTATATTTGCCACTGTACATATTATTTTCATTGTCTTATCAACAACAACAACAAACCCAGAAGTTAATGTTATCGACATTTGTTATTTTATAAAGAGTCCCTGCTAGTGCATTTTTCATAGTTAATCTTTCAAAAGTTATTCTTTGACTTTGAGGACCTCCATTAAAGAAGTGAGTGATTGACACAAGTACTGTCTAAAACCTTCATTGCTCACTGATTTTGGAGATTATTAGACTTCTTTTAGTTTTATGAGGACTTTGGGATAACTGCTGGAGGCATATGTGATCTGCCCAATAGCATAAGTAAATAGAGGTGAAGTAAGATTAGACAAAATCGTTTAGCCTAAATGTGGAGAGTTAGATATATAAGTTCAGTCTTACAGGAGAATGGCATAAAGGTGGAGAAATAAATAAAATAAAAGTAGAATGAGTGTGGTATGTGATGGGAAGACAAGAAATATTATAAAATAGTGAATGTTGGGCCGTTAAGGACCAATATATCTACTAGATGAATGGCGTAGCGGCTATTACAACAACAACAAACACAGTGTAATCCCACAAGTGGGGTTTGAGGAGGGTAGTCTGTAAGCAGACCTTATCCCTACCGGGTGGGGGTAGATAAGTTGTTTCCAATAGACTCTCGACTCAAGGAAAGTTGGAAAAAGAAGCAATGACAACAAGCAATAATAATAACAAGATACTAAGATAATCGAAGCAGAAGAAACAACATATAGTAATAGAAATCAAATAATAAGAAAACCTTATAAAAAAATCAAATAATAAGAAAATACAAGAATATTACAAATACTACTGGCGTGGAAAAGAAATACGCTGACTACCTACTAACCTTCTACCCTAATTCTTGACCTCCATACCCTACTCTCAAAGGTCATGTCCTCGGTAGGTTGAAGCTGTGAATGTCCTGCATAATCACCTCTCCCCAATACTTCTTTGACCTACTTCTACCTCTCTTGAAGGCCTCCGTGTCTAACCTCTACTTCTCTTCAAGGCCTCCATGTCTAAGCTTTAACACCTCCTCACTGGAGCATCTGTGCATCTCCTCTTCACATATCCGAACCATCTCAACCTTGCTTCCCACATCTTGTCCACAATAGGGGCCACTCATACCTTGTCCTAAATATCTTCGTTCCTAATCTTATCTCTCCTAGTATGCCCACACATCCACCTTAGTATCCTCATTTTCGCTACTTCCATCTTTTGGACATGAAAGTTCTTGACTGGCCAATATTCCGCCCCATAGAAAGTCTAACCGCCACTTTGTAGAACTTACCTTTAATTCTTGGTGGCACAAGACACCACATGCGAGCCTCTCCAATACGATGCGTGACATCCTCGTTAATCTCCCTATTACCTTGGATTATTGACCCAAGGTACTTGAAACTCCCTTTCTTGGGGATAAATTGTGTATCAACCCTTACTTCCACGTCAGCCTCATGAGTTACATCATTGAACTTGCACTCCAAATATTCCGTCTTAGTCCTGCTCAACCTGAAGCCTTTAGACTCTAGGGTTTGTCTCCAAACCTCCGGTCTAGTGTCAACTCCGCCTCGCGTCTTGTCAATCAGTATTATGTCATCTGCAATTAACATGCACCATGGCATTTCCCTTGAATGTGTCGCGTCAATTCATCCATCACCAATGCAAATAAAAACAGGCTAAGAGCTGATCCCTGGTGCAAACCCATCACAACTAGAAAGTGTTTCGATTCCCCTCCCACTATCCTTACCCGGGTCTTGACTCTATGATACTATGTCTTTAATCGCCCTAGTGTATGCTAAAGGTACACCTCTTGTCTCCAAACATCTCCATAGATCCTCTCTTGGGATTTTGTCATATGCTTTTTCTAGGTCAATGAACACCATATGTAAGTCCCTCTTCCTCTCCTTATACTGCTCTACCAATCCCTCTTCCTCCTGCTCTACCAATCTCCTTACAAGGTGAATGGTTTTCGTAGTTGATCGCCCCGATATGAATCCGTATTGGTTCTCGGAAATAGATACTCCTTTCTTACCCTTGTCTCCACCACTTTCTCTCAAACTTTCATAGCGTGGCTTAGCAACTTGATACTTCTGTAGTTGTTGCAATTTTGAATATCGCCTTTGTTCTTGTACAACGAAACCATTGTACACCACCTCCATTCTTTGAGCATCTTTGCCGGGTTAAAAAATGACATTAAACAACCTGGTTAGCCACTCCAAACCTGCTCTGCCTGCGCTCTTCCAAAATTCTACATGGATCTTGTCTGGCCCGGTCGCTCTTCCCTTACAGTACCCAAAATCTCGACAACTCTCGGAGTGTACCAAATCACCCATCACAATATTCTTGCCCCCTCTTCATTCAAGAGTTTATGGAAGTATGCCTGTCATCTTGGTCTAATGTGTGCCTCTTCCACTAATACTTAGCCTTTCTCGTCTTTGATGTACGTCACTTCGTCCAGGTCTCGGGCTATCCTCTCCCTCATCTTGGCTAGCATGTATAACTTCTTATCCCCGCCTTTACCCTCAATTTCTTCATACAAGCGTTTGAACGTTGTCGTTTTCGTTGATGTTATTGCTAACTTCGTCTCCCTCTTCGCTGTCTTATGCCTCTCCCTGTTCATCCTCTTGTCATCCTTGTCTTTGCTCTCCACTAACTTCGCATAAGCAATCTTCTTAGCTTCCACTCTCTCTTGGACCTCTCACCTCTCTATTCCACCCCCCCCGATGTCTACTAGAGTTATCCCTCCAGACCCCCAACACATCTCTAGCTGCTTCCCTAATGCAACTAGCGGTGCTATCCTAAATACTGTTTGCATCCGCACTACTTCCCCGAGCCCCCATCTCCATCATCTTCTTCCCCATCTCCTGGGCTCGGTCAGAAGTCAAGCCACACCATTTGATCCTTGGTCTGTCGTACATAGCCCTCTTTTTCCTTTTCCTCTTAATCTCTAAATCCATCGCCAAAAGCTTATGTCGGGTTGTAAGATTCTCACTCGAGATAACCTTGCAGTCCTTACGAGGACCTCTATCACACTCCCTAAGGAGGAAGTAATCTATTTGAGTCTTAGCCCTGAGCCACCGTACTACAAAAGGTTATCTAGCGCTCTTCCTTTTTCGGGAAACTCGAATAACTATTACCAACTCAAAAGCTTCTGCGAAATCCAAAAGCGAGACTCCTTCGCATCTATCCCCAAAACCAAAACCTCCATGCACAACGCCATAACCCCTTGAAGTAGTCACGATGTGGCCATTGAAATCGCCTCTTATGAACAACTTCTCGGTGGGTAGTATACCTCTCACAACTTTGTCCAAATTCTCCCAAAAATGCCTCTTGACCTCCTCTTCCAGGCCCGCTTGAGGTACGTAGGCACTAATTATGTTCAAAATAAGCCTCCAACGACTAGCTTAATCACCATCGTCCTATTGTTCACCCTTCTAACCTCTACCACCTGCTCCCCGAGTTCTTTATCAACTAAAATGCCTACTCTATTCCTATTCTTCGAGCCTCCTGAGTACCACAATTTAAACTCATCCATGGCTTGTGCCTTAGTACCTACCCATTTGGTTTCCTGGACACAAGTTAAGTTAATCTTTCTCTTCTTAAGAATCTTCACCAACTCTATAGACTTCCCCGTCAATGTCCCTATNCCCCCCCAAACCGAGGACATGACCTTAGTTTACCATTGTTCACTAGAGCCACTAAAACATATGTAAGCTAATTAAAGGTTTACTAAATAGAACAACTTGAAATCAACTAATCTATAACAAAGACAGGCAAGCAAATATGAACGAGAGAAATAGAATATAGCCGGCGAGGCAACCAAAAATAAAAAGTATTCAACACCGCAAAGTGTGTCGGCAAGGCGACGAAAAGGAAAGGTATCACAATAACAAAGATGGCAAGGCCAAAATAGAGGAACAATAATGAAGCTAGAACTCTTAACCCAATAATCACCGCAGAGGCAACCAAAAATTAAACAAAAAAATTTGAACACAACAAAGAGTGCTGGCAGGGCGATGAATCAGAAAGGAATCACAATAATAGAGCCGGCAAGGCGAAAATAGAGGAACGATAGTATTTGGAGAACGTTGAATCTAATGGTGTAGTTGGACTTTGCACAACACCTATGGAGACCAAGATCTGGAACAAAATAATACAAAAGAGACGAACTGGCAGCAATGAAGGCAGGGCGCCCGAGTATGTCGTCCAAGTTAGTTTTCCGTCAAGGATGCATTCCTTTGTCAGCTCTGGATGTACCTGCAAAATCAAAGAAAGAAAGAACAAAGGGGAGGGGAGATGGTGGAGGTCGACGAAGTATATATCTAGATATATATATATGATGAAAGAAAGAAATTCAGCTTCTAAGATGAATTTTCCGTTGAATACACAAAATTAGAGATGATCATATCCAATACAAGATGCAAATAGCACAGATAGAGGATAAAACAAGAGAATGTCACTAAGGTAGTTTTGATCATGTCTGATGTAAACTTGTGTTTACGCTGACCCATAGGTCCAATAATATGATGACTGAAGGTGTGACAAATGAGACGAAGTAAACCTACAACATCTCGGAATAAACACCGACTTGGCTAAGGATAGACACAGTGAAAGCAATTCATGTAGGTGATACGAACTAGTTAGGATTAAGACTTAGTTGTTGTGGTTATAGTTATAATAAGTTTGGTTTTTGTAAGGAGTCTTTTTATCATTTTAGAGACTTGTATCTCTGCGTTAGGGGAAAGTGTGTGATTTAGAGCTAAGTTGCTCGAACACAAGTGCGGGTGTCCGACACGAGTGCGGATCTAGAGGTCGGATCCTTCGAGATGTAAATTTTAAGATTCGGGGATATGGATCCTAGTACGGATACCGGTGCGGGGATCTGACTAAAAATAATTAAAAAAATAAAAAAATAAAAAATAAAAATTTCTTATGAGAAATTTTGTGCAATACTTAAGTATAGCTTGTAAAGTGTAGATTATTTTAGTCTCAAGTTGTAGATAAGTAAAGGATTGATTTCCTAGATAAGGTATGCTATTTTCTTCAAATCTACCCTAGTTTTGGTTATGATTTTGGGAATCAAATTGTATCTCGTCTCGAATTTTTTTTGTCCATCATGGTCGAAGTGCCCAAAATTGTTTGACCAGATCCGGTACGGATCCCATACCCACACCCATACTACTGTCGTATCGACACGGGTACGACACCTAAACTGCCGTGTCGTAGCAACTTAAATTTAGAGAACTCCTTATATGCCCTTTATTTGGCATTGTAATAAAATGAACTTGAATAGAATACAATCAAACCTTTCTATAACAGTCTCGTTTGTTCCGATATTTTTTGGCTGCTATAGTGAAGTACTGTTACAAAGGACATATATTATAACATTAATATAAAAATCGGTTCCGAGAAAAACATAGCTTTTATAGTGAATGACTGTTATATGGAGATGCTGTTATAGAGAGAGGTATGCTTGTAGAATGAATTCATAGGATTCATGAAGATGATCTCAACTAATTTGAGATTGAGGTGTAGCTTTTGATTGAATTATACGAGATTACCGGAGCAACTTATCAGTGCGAAATTTAGGCTGCTAGAGGCATGCATGATCTGACCTAATATCACAAATGGGAGTAGGAACTTATTGAAGCCACAACAAGTATGTGACATATCTGTAAATATTATTCACATTCTTAAGCTAAAGATGATCCTTGGAGATACCATATTCTTAGCTACACCAAGCCATGGCATACTCCTTTTAGCACCCGGTTGGGTTGGTGAAGTATACACGTTTCTAATGCATTGAGGAGTAAGATTGGTGGAACATGGAAAACCTTTTCTCTTTTCCATTGAATTAGTAGATGCTTCATATGCTTGGAAAATGTAAAGTATAGAGTCATTTTTTGGATTAGAAAGCATTTAGGACCTTCTTGTATTTTTGATACTTTCTGATATTTTTAGTTTGTTGTGTCCATGTTGCTTTTCTCAGGTAATGTAGTTGCACCAATGTAGTTAATTGTTGCAGTTACAAACCAAGCTGTTTCTGCAGTTCAGAATTATCTCATTTTCTCTTTACAACATTTAATATTATTAGGAGAAAACTATTTGTAAATGCTTTTGTTGAGCAATGAGGTGTGGATTCTTTGCTTTGATAGTGTGGTACCATTGTGTTGTTCATTATATAATCAGGAAAATAATACCCCTCAAAAGTGTAGGACCCTTTTGTGGTGAATTGTTTGCTTTCAAACTGTTTTATTGTTTCTTCCTCACCTCTCTTATGTAAGTTTTCTTTTGTTTATATGTTAGTGGATCTCCCTTCCCCTTCCACCGTGGCACTGTCTTGTTCTTCTTTTGTCGTGAGGTGTCAGTTTGTAATGGACTTAGATTAAGTCAAGCCTAAGCTCAAGGTTTTAGGTTAAGTAAGCTGCCTGTTTGGATTGTGCTCTGAGCCCTACTTTTCGTAGGTTGTGTTATTAGGAGAGATGAAGGGAAGAAGCAAAGGAGAAGGATAAAGCATTTGCATTTGAGTTGATCAATTTCGGAGCTTGTGGAAGTTACATTCTTTAATTAATTAATTAATTTATTTATTGACAAGGAAAATTACTTTCTTTAATTCTGTACCAGGAGTAGTAGTAGCAGTATATCTGCTTCGCTCTGCATGTTATCTTGCTTTACATATTTACGATGTCTTACAGATTTTGGTTGCTCCATGCAGGAGAAATTTCTTGAAGTATTTTGCAGGGAGGCTTATGCTTGTTCTTTTCTGGATCGCAACAATTATGTTGGATATGACCATCTCTGTGAGTATCTCTCAGTCCTTTGCTTATAAGTTAGTAGGACCTTCTTTCCTTGTGTAACAGCAGCTAGTGTTTTTTCTGTTACATTTTACATGATATTCCTGATTCACTTAGTGCTTGTGGTTTTGTGCTTAGCATTACTGAATTTGTTCTTTAATCACCTCCTGTTATTTCGGCATACCTTATCTTTGTTGATTTTCCATTTTCATCATTTTTAGTAACTTGTCACTTTGAAGTCATAACCTTTCTCACTTTCATACTTTTCACGTGTTAAAATTTATCCTATCTCAAATTGTATGGCCTAGTTTGGTCTATGTGGCTGACTTGAATTTTCAGTCTAGTATTAAGTATTAATTATGAAAAAAATTATCCTATCTCAAATTGTATGGCCTAGTTTGGTCTATGTGGCTGACTTGAATTTTCAGTCTAGTATTAAGTATTAATTATGAAAAAATCTTAGAGACCTCCAGATTTGTGTTTGTGATACTAAGTTTCCTTGTGTTTTCGGATATACACCAACTTCCTTTATTTGATTTTTCAAAAAACTAGGCTGTTTTGAGTGATAAATTTTCTACAACATTCCCGAACTGCTGGTAATAAACATGTCAAGATTTCAACACAAACCCTCTTTGGATAGGAGAAAAGAGAGAGAGAAGATGTTGGTACAATATTGTAGTTAAAGGTTCATATATTTCTTATATTGGGGAATAATGATATTAGAGAAGACCAATGCAGTAAGGGAGGTTAGTGTAATATCTCAGACCACACGGAGGTAAATGATACAACAACAAACCTAGAGGAGGCCTCTTAAATTATTCCTCAATTTATCTCTTTCTTTGGGGAAAAAACTTGTATGTTTATAATTGCAAAAAATAGAACTGTGAATTATTTTCTTGAAATAAAAAGGATAAAGGAATAGTGAAGTCAGGAAAAAGTACTGTTAACTTTCAAAACAGTAACTAGGTCAAATAAAATGGGGTTCTGGGAGTATTATTGTAACTAGTAGGCCTTACTCAATGTGTACTATGCTTTGCACCTGGGCTCTATCTTACCTTCTTCTATCTTTCCAGTACAGAATTGTTTAATTTACCATTCTTAAAGTTGGAAACACCAAAAATTGATTAACAGCTCACTATACCACTTGCATATATCTATACTTCAGATTTCGGAAATCTAAGCTTTTACATGAAATTACTGGTGAAAGTCATTGTTAACACCTGTTGAAGGTTTTGACAGTAGTCTTTATTCTGTATAAAAGTTGATATGACATAATAAGTCTTGTTGAATTTTATTTCAAGGTTTCTAAAATTGAGAGCATTCCTTAGAAGTGGACTAAGGATTACTTACTATCACATGGAAGTGCAAAGAGTTGGTAGGGATAAGCTAATAAAGTACTAGAGTAATGATGTTTTATGGCCAGAGAAATAACACTATCAATGGATAGAACTCACATAAGAAGTCCAATGTATTGCACATTGGGTAGTTTCTGGGTTCTTTTTCTGGAGTTTTTGTTTAATGATGCTACTGCTTAGTGAACTAAAATGAAATTTTCAGTAGTAGTAGGAACTTTAAGAATTCTTTGCAATGTTGTTTGCTCTCTTCACATTGAACACAATCGTCAAACTAAAGATGGTGAAACAACTTGAGTTCACATATTTTGATAAAAATACTAAAAGATGACCAGAACAGTTAACAACTAGTTGAATAGTATCGTCCTAATAGTGAACAATCATCCAAGTTAAAAGCAGTAGTGGAGCCTTGTTCCCTCTAAAAGTTGTTGGTAATTGCTCGTGCAAACAGCTGCATCTTGCAGCAAACATGTAAACAATTTATTCTCAATCAGCGCAAAGAGGTGCAGTGATGCAAATTGCCAAGGTATCATTGGCATTGCTTAAATTGGCGGTTGAAGAGTACATGAAAAAATTTCAGGAATTAGTCAAAAAATTGACTAGAAGTCCGATATTCTGTATCGGCATTTCACCATATAAAAAAAGAGAAGGTCTTTTCAGAACAATGCTCGGATATTCATTATCGAGGAGGGCTCAATATCCAAACCTTGATACCATGGAGAAAATGAGAACAAGTTCTGGAGATATTCTTTTTGAGAAGCTGATAAAATGATCAATGTAGTGGCTGGAAGAGACGTCAGTNGGGGTTCGGGTTACGTTCCCTTGACCTAGACACGGATTATATGATTAACTTATAGATATGAGCAAAAACTTGGGCCAAACAGGTGTCATAAGGTCACTAGAGGTTGGCAAAAGCTACTTGGGTGTATTAAGTAAGTTTATAGAGGCTCTGATGCAATAAAATGAGACAATAAAAAAGAAAAAAATCTTATTAAAATGGTTGATACCAAATAAAAAGGTTCATATATAGGAGTTTTAAGTTGCATGAAATAAGAAAATATCTTAATTTTTGGGATTCTTAATTATGACATAATAATTACGAATATTCTACACTACATTCTTTAATTATTTTTTGATGTTCAACAATATTTACTTTCAGTCATAACCCATATGGAGACTGTAGAGGAACATATATAGATGATATAGCTGACCCCAACTAAATTTAGAATCGATTCATTATTGATGTTGTTATAACTTTGGATTCTTAATTATGACATAATATATTCTACACAATATTTTTTAAGTATTCTTTGGTTTCAATAATATTTACTTTAATTCTTAAGTCTCATCCCATTTGGATCTGAATAGATATAGATCATATAGTTGCCACCAACTAGTTTGGAATCAAGACATTATTGTTTTACTTTAATACACATAGGTGCAGGGTTTCGATTCCACCTAAGGCCTGCCCTTCTTTTATCTTCTTCTCTACCCCGATTCATGGGCGAACACATTCCAAAGAAAGAAAAAAAAAAGAGAAAAGAGAAACAAAAATAAAAGAAAGAGAAAGAACAACCCACTTATTTTAAGTTCTCGTGTTGAGTTCAAATTTCATGTCTCAAATTGCCACCCCTAATGTACTACAAACTCAATTGAAAAACTTAAGAGGAAGAAAATTTAAAATGAACAAAAAGGTTATTTAATAAAAGAACTAAAATGGGCAAAAAGGAAGGATTAACGGATACCATCTTGAATATGCAATTTTGCTTTCTTACACTGTTCTTATTACCTTTTGATTTGTTGTGTGATCCAACTCGAACCGGTCGAATGACCAAAATTCTGATTTAAACAATCTTTGTCTAGTTATCGGGCTATCAATTTTCTGGTATTCTTATTCATCAAGGAAAAATAAAAAAGTAATATTCTGGAATTCTGCTTTTTTTGTCAATTTGAGAGAACTAAAAGGAGCAGCTTAGCTATAATCTATGCAGCATTCTGTGACATCTTATTATTAGACTTGGTTCGGGCTGTGTTTATGAGTATAACCAATTTTGTTCTCGAGAAGTCATTTTATTTGCATTCTTAGTAGCTCTCGACATTTTTTTGTGTTGCAGCTTCAGTTGTTTCCAAACGACACAGATTTGACTTTCTTTCAGGTATCGATTACTGTTTTCCCAATAACGAATGATTTGGCTCTCCCAAATTTTCGACATTTTCATTCTTTATTTATGGGATGCTATCTATGCAGAGTTTGTTCCGCAGAAAGTAAGAGCTGTAGATGCATTGGCTGAAATCCCCAAGGCTGAGGAGACATGATCTCGCCGATCTGGAATTGATGCTTTATACAATTTATTGTTGTTCGTACATGACATCATTTTTGCACCAACTATTGAGAGCAGTAACATAGTTTTCCCAGTTTGCTAATACAGGATATAGGGGGAGAAGGTTACGGGAAAGGGGAAACGAACCTGGGGTTTTGGGGTGGTGAATGGGCCATTCTGTTCTAATCAAATTGGTTTCCTATCTTTGCAGAGCTTATGACTGTAAATAAACATGTATCTAAGCTCTTGAACATTTAGCTTGACTTAATGATAGATGTTGACGAGTTCTGATCAGGTATGATGTATCTCAATGCATGTGCTTGGATCATAATGTCATATTTGTAGGTAAAACCTCATTGTGATACTATGCGTCTGTGCCTCTGTGAAGACTGAAGAGACATGTCCACTGCTTAATCCCGTTAACTTGTGGATTGAAGAAGTCACTTCTTTTCTTTTCTCTGCTTTTAAGCTTTCGTTTATCATAGATACCATTACCATATGAAGAACAAACAGATTTACAATATATGGACATTTTGATAAGGCATTCTTATTTTATTTTTCAAAAGCACGAGTATATGATGTGTGTTTTACTTGGGCCTTGTTAAATGTTGTATTTCTGAGAAGAAACTCAATAATGAATTGGTATTTCATGGGTCCCCAATAATAGCCATATCCTTGTGATCAATTCTAGGCTTGATGTCAAGTTTGAGTGTAGGGCAATGTGTTGAGGGATGACATTGTTGGATTTGTGTCTATCCAAGTCATTATAGGCTTTGGGAGATGAAATAATCTTTCAGTCAAAGGACCAAAATCAGTCTACTTATCCCACCAACTTGTCATCCTTCACTTCTCACAAAACATTATTTTCCATTTTATGCCAGATGTCTACAGGTCTTCTCCAAACAAAAGAATGGCCATAATCTCCATTTTTTCCTAGCTTGGTGAGAGTGCCACCAATACTCAAAAGTAAGTTCTATAGAGCGGTGGTTAGACCGGCTATGATGTATGGGGCCGAGTGTTGGCCCGTTAAGAACTCACATATCCAGAAGATGAAAGTAGCGGAAATGAGGATGTTGCGGGCACACTAGGATAGATAAGATTAGGAATGATGATGATAGATAAGATTAGGAATAATGATATTTGGGAGAAGGTGCACGTGGCTCCTATTGATGACAAAATGCGGGAAGCGAGGCTTAGATGGTTCAGACATGTTCAGAGGAGAAGCCCAGATGCTCTGGTACGGAGGTGTGAGCGGCTGGTTGTGGAGGGAACGAGAAGAGGTAGAGGGCGGCCTAAGAAGTATTGGGGAGAGGTGATCAGGCAGGATATGGTGAGGCTCTAGATTTCCGAGGACATGACACTTGATAGGAAGATGTGGATGTCGAGAATTAGGGTTGTAGGTTAGGAGGTAGTTGAGTCGTGCCTTACTTCGTACCATTGTGAGACTAGCCATGTAGGGGTTTTGTCTAAGATAGCTAATGGCAATGTTGTGTTATACTATTTCGCTTTTCAGTGCAGGTCCTATTTACTAGCTATCGCTTTTGCTTTGCATCTTTCTTATAGATTTTATGGTGTTCCTATTTTCTTATGATTGCTGCGGTGATACTAATATTGTCTCCCTTTGCTTTGTATCTTTCTTCTGGATTTTATGATCTTATTTTTCCTATGATTGCTGTGATGATACTAATATTGTCTCCTTTTTGTCCTTTTGGCTTTTTATTTTCTTGAGCCGAGGGTCTTTCGGAAACAGCCTCTCTACTCCTTCGGAGTAGGGTTAAGGTATGCGTACACACTATCCTTCCCAGACCCCATTAGTGAGATTTTATTGGGTTGTTATTGGCGGTGATGGTGGTGAGAATGACTACCAATGTTTACGAACAACAAAAACACGTGCGCGCACACATGCACTTTTTGCAATTACAACTGTATAGGAATACAATGTCCTCAGTTACCTCTAGCTGATGACATCACTTAGTTCTCTCCGCTTCAAGCTATTACAAACTATAAAAGCTTATTTTCACTGTTGTTCTTGGTGATTATAATGCATTGCCAAACATTATATGAAAAGATTTAGTTTAATGGTTTTGCTTCCAATCGCAAATTAATGCTTGACATTATATTGCAAACGGTGTAGGCATAATGCATACACACATTAAGTTATATTGTTTACACGCACATAATTTATTTTTCCTACAAAGCAGTATTGAATAACACCACTTGATTGAAGGTGTCTCCACCACAGATCAGCTTATGAAAAAGAAGGGATTTGCAGTAACTCCAATCATCATGAATGGCATTGTACGGATTCATATAACCGACTCTAACTAGCTCGTGATTGAGGGGCAGTTGATTGAAAAAAGGCCGTAAAATATGCTTATTCCATATTGTAAAGGGATTTTTTCGTTCCTATACACTATTTGAAATTTTATTACCAAAAATGTCCATGTTTATTTATTTACCCCACCTAAACAAGTTTTATCTACAAAATATATACATTTATTTAAATTAGAATCCTTTCTGCAGTAGCCTTCCTTTTTTAGACGCTGGAATTTGGGATCGCGTAGGATTCTTAAGAGATTTTATTAACGCAATCATCGCACATTAATCAAGCCAATGTATTTGTAGAATCCTGCTATTACGCCGATTTTCTCTGATAATTTTATCAGCATAATCAAGTTCTATTCTCTGGTTTTCTCTGGTTTTCCATAAGCGAAGGTTTTAAATTTTTTTTGCAAACAATTATCTATAATTGTATTGAATTTCACGACATAATGTCAAAATTAGCGATTATGCATCAGCTAAATGGTCACTGGGATAACATTGGGAGATACAAAGATTTTAATGTTGATGGAAATTATAGTCAACGAGGATTCAAATTATAGTGAATTGAATTCTGCAATTGCAGAGCATCTAATGATCGATACCTCCGCAAAAATCATTGAAATCAAATACACTATCAACAAACGTTGTCCTCCAATGGAAATTCGGAACGATATGGGAGTTTGAGTATACATGGAGACGAAAAAGGAAAATAAAAGCTTAGGAATGTATCCGCTGTGTATAACAGTGCGTGATTTCGATTTGGAATGCAGTATCTCTAATTCGAGCACAATTACAGGTTTGTTCTGTTTTTTCAGTGGTGATGTTTTGTCAGTTTCATGTGTTCTACAATATTTCTACACATAACTATAATGATACTATATGACAAATATAGTTCAACTGTTATGTCTATTGAAGTATTCAATTTCACGTGTTCTATGATTTTAGTACAACCTATCTACAATATAGGTCTGAGTTGTAGATACTTTTAATTGAGTACAGGTTCATCTGATTATCGTATGTCTAAAGTGGTTCAATTGTCAAGCAATTGTAACAAAATTGGAGAAGTATCAGAAACAGTGAAATTGATTGATAGGCCAACATTTCCGGCGATTGTGGACTATGAAAGTATCATCATAACAGAACATACGCCAAATGTTATTGAAGTAGGCCAAGTCTACCAAGACAAGCAAACAATTGTCAGTGCAATGAAGCACTATTCTGTCATGAATAAGTTTCAATTTAGGGTGAAAAGGTCTAGCACAAGAAGGTAGGAACAGTTCAATTATCAAATTCATATTTTTATTTAATTTGTAGTGTTTTTGGATTTTTTTTGTACAATTTGTAGTTTCTTTGTATATAAATTTTATATAATTTGTAGTTTGTTTGTATATAAATTGTTTAATATAAGATTTTTGTGCTTAAGCAGCCTCTTATTTTGTAGCTACATTTTTTATCATATTTTTTAAATTATTTTTATTCTGTAGCTACTGCCTCGTATGTGTTGGGAATAATTGTACATGGCACTTCAAGTCCACCAGCATAAACGAATCAACATTGTTCAAAGTTCGAAAATTCAACAGCTTGTACACATGCTCTTTGATGGGCAATATATACATACAATGCAAACCTACTGCCATGGTAGTTGGTAGCATGGTTATACCAAAATATGCGAATCCTAAGACAATATACACATCAAAAGACATACAAGCTGATATGTTGTCGGAACATGGTGTGAACTTAACATACATGCAAGCTTGGAGAGCAAAGGAAAAGGCTTTGGAATTTTTGAGAGGTCATCCTGCTGATTCCTACAGTCGCTTACCAAGTTATTGTATATTCTGGAGAAGACTTATCTGGGGTCATTAGTTAAATTGCAGAAGACTGAAGATGACTGTTTCTTGTACGCATTTGTTGCACTTAGTACGTCCATCAAGGGTTGGGAGTATTGTAGGCCAGTTGTAGTAGTTGATAGCACCTTCTTGAAGTCAGCATATAGGGGAATAATGTTAACAACTAGTACAATGGATGCATCAAGTATTGTAGATTAATGGTAGAAATATTATCATAAAGTTGTTTTTCAGTGTGTATTTTTTATACTCTCAAGTTTTATTAAAGAAAATAAATTTTTTTTTGCCACCTGTGTGATAGGTAGCATATTACCACTGACATACGCTGTTGTTGATCCAGAAAATGACGCATCAATGGACATGGGTTTTTGAGCAATTCAAACATGCGTATGGTAAAAAACCAAATATGTGTGTTGTTTCGGACTGGAATGAGAGTATCTTGAAGGCAACATCTACTGTTTATACCGGCATGCCACATTATTCTTGCATGTGGCATATTTGGACAAATATAATGTCAAAGTTCAAGAAGGGTCATCTAAAGTTAAGTGAATTGTACTTTGACACGACACGATCATACACACTTGATAAATTTAATGGAAGAATGTCACAGATTGAAGAGATCGACACATATGTTAAAGCATACCTATTCGATATTGGCTATCACAGATGGTCTCGGGTACATGCTACGGTGAACAGAACGTGGACGATGGCATCAAATATTGCAGAGTCATTGAATGTGGTAACAAAAGATGCAAGAGAGCTTCCCGTAGTAGAACTATTAGAGTACATGAGGATTTTCTTGAATGTTGGACTAATAAAAAGTTATTGAAAGCAAAGGGTACGTTCACATACCTTGGGAAAAAAAATACAACAAAGAGTTGAAGGACAAGAGGAAATTATCGTAGAAGATGAGAGTAAGCTATAGCCAATAACATCAGATCATTAATTCCATCAAACTAAATATATATTGTTAATTGTAGATAAAGTATTGTATAATTGTAGTTATTTTATATATGTTGCTGACAACTTGTTGTGTGTTTGTAATAAAATTATAGGTGAGCGATTCCACAGATCACATCCATACTGTGATAGATGGTGTGAAGCGATTCATTATTTGCCTTCAAAACAAAAGATGTAGTTGTGGACAATTCCAGCTTGATGAACTTCCTTGTGCACATGCTTTGACATTTTTGAGGCACATGAACGAGTCTTATGAAAATTATTGTTCTCCTTATTATACGAGGGAGAGCCTTTTGCATACTTATGAAATACCAGTAGACCCGCTGCCTGACAAAAGCAAATGGAATGTGCCACAACATATAGTTGAAGAAGTTGTAATGCCACTTACTGGGAAAAGACAGCCAGAGAGAC